CTTCATACAGTTTTGTACAGTGGGGCATGCTGTAAAATCTTCAGCTGGTCATTCAAAAACTCATTTCATTCCATTCACCTTCTACCAACATACAGCCGATCCATTCTGTTGCCAAGCAGCACTCTGTTGCCATCACATTACAGCACTGCACAGCACGGCTCAGTCCTGCTCCAGAACAAAGCTTCTTGAAACACAAGCTTGGTGTGGATGGAGCCAAAACACGGAAATCCTTTGAAAGAACTCTTCAATAACATTAAAAGTAAAATTATGAAACGAACATTGTAAATTAACTAACATATAATGGAATTAATTTAACAATCATACTTAAAGCTACAGTGTGTAATAATTACAGGCATATAAAGTCAGAAATTTAATATATTATACATAACTATGTTATTTATCATCACCTATGAGCTCAGCCTTTTAACCATAATATTTGCGTTGCCTTAGAATTCGTTATTTATAATTACATAGGAGCGGGTCTCGCAGCCATGGAGGCTGACATCTTTGCGCTACGGCAAGCGCAGAGGCAAAAAACTAGCGATTGCGAGATCGCCCATTACGCTCGAAAATAACTACGGCAAGTTGAGAGAGATGAACTGAGACGGTACTGAACAGTAGATGGCAGTATTATGCCTGAGAAGCGTTTAGTCTGCCTGAAACCAAAGAAGAAGAAGAAGCAGGTATACTGCGCCTCAGTAACAAGAAAGGTGAACAAGGCGGCAGGCGTAAGTGACTTTGCAAACTGTTTGGCACTGTGTGGCCAAACATCAGACGAATGGAGGATCATGCCTACTCTGTATCACAACGAAAAGCGGCGGACACCGAACCCCCGTCATCTAAGAAGCGGAAACACGACGAGAATAAACGCAAGCGTGACAAGAAACGACAAAAAACGCGGATCAACATTGGCACGGCATTTACACGATGGAAGTCACTGATGGAGCAAAAAGGTTTTCAGAGTGACGCTCAAGTTGCCAGTTTTCTCTTGGACAGGTAATTAATCCTGCACACACAATTGTCTAATATCACTGCAGTTTTTGGAGTACAGGATGCTCAGACCTGTCTAAAACAATAACATGCTGCGTGATGATGCTGTTACTCTCCAGTATACTTATTCAGCAACGTCCCTGACGTTTTACAGGTAATGATTCTGTTATTTTCTGTAAAATAATTTTCTGGATATATACCTCGGTTACTTCTCTCCGGCTCCTTTGGAGATCTTCAAGCCTTTCCTCCTCTGCTCTCACCCCGCTGGCACCCCTCCCTCGCCTGGCCCTAGCTGCACTTCCACCACGGCCTCCCTGCCCTCGCCCTCTTCCTCTTCCTCGCCTTGTAACCCCCGTGCCACCAAAATGACTTGGACTCTGTAAACGGGGAATATATATTCTTCCAGCGAACACAATCTCGCTGTTAAACTAATGACTACAATTACTTCGTCTGTTTATATCACCATGCAAAGCAGCTCACCAAAACGTCACAACGACGTAGAAAAAATAACGGGTATATTTATTATCTAAAGTCTACATGAAATCTATACCCTACACAGACTAATGAAATACTATCTGTAAAATTATCTATGTAAACAAACCTCATCACTTGAGAAGGTAGGTGATGCGGACGTCGTGGAAGACATTTTGTCCCGTAACGCTCGCCGTACTGTTGGGGGGGAGAAGCGGTGGGGGGGAGATGTTCATGTTGCTGCAGTCTGCAGTCTGACCGCTAGATGTCACTGAAAATTACACACTGTAGCTTTAATGGACAAATTACCATACTTGATATATATGTATTGTATTACCTGTATAGGTATTTAAAGAAATGGAATGCTCAGGTTAAATGGAAAATGTTCAAGACCACAAGAAAAAAAAAGTCCTTTTAGAGATAGAATTGAAAAACTATGCAAATAACTAAATGGATGTAAAAAAATAATAATAATAATAATGCCATGGTTGTAAACGCCTATTGAGCCTGTTAGGGGGTTATAAGATCTAACAGCAGCTGGAAGGATTTGCCGTTGCTTCCTTTGTGCCTCTATGTGGTCAGGAGTCCTACAGGCCACTAAAGGGCTTCTGTGGCTTAATGCTGCTTGGGAGATATTCTGACAGTAATGTTAGATTTCTTACAGTTTCCCTGCCCACCGTGTCCAGGGGGCATCCTAAGACATAGCTGTCCATCCTAATGAGCTTATCCACCAGCTTCCTCTCAGCTACAGATGAACTGCTCCAACATACCACACCCTAAAAGATGGCTGATGCCACCACAAGCTTTAGAAGGTCTAAAAGAGTTCTGCCTGCACTCCAAAAGATTTGTCTCCTCAGAAGACAGGGTCACTTTTGGCTCGAATTTAGTCGTTCCAGTCCATTTTATGTTAAGCTGAATACCCTGATATAAATGTGATGTTTACATCAGCCTCATGTATTTCTCAACCACCAGCTCCTTGGTTTTCCCCATCTCAGCCTTGATGTGGTTCTGTTGCAGTTTACACAGCTGTGTATTTCCTGTCTCATCTGTGATGAAGCTGACTGTAGCATAGTTCTCTGAGACCTTCTGAAGGTTGCAGGCAGTTGATGGAGGGATTTGCAGTGTAGAGGGTCAACAGGATATTTGCCATAGCATTTCCTTGCGGTGGTCCTGGGCTGCAGCCCTGCCTGTCAGACACGCAGTCCTGCCTCCTTACATCATGTATGTCCTCAAGAGCCGCTGTCCTGCAGGCAGTAGGGGTTCCCCCTGCTTCAGCACAGCTCATTTCCCTTAATAGCTGATTAACAAGCTTTTGTTGAACTGCAATCACCTGAATGAGCTCTGCTGAAGCTGGGAAACATTGTAAAGCTTTAAGGCAGGGTTCTCAAGGACCTCAATCGCCTGGATCTGATGCCCTCTGGACCCGCAGCCCTCCTCACTTTGATCTTTAGTCTGAGAAAACAAGGGCTGCGCAGTTCAGGAGGAAACGCAGGTAGTCATCAAAAATCAGGGCATCTAAAAATGGGAGACTGGGAAGGGGGAGGAGCTAATGACTAAGTAAGTACTGATACAGGCAATGCACCCTGCCCATCTCCTTAAGCGTGGGAGCTCTGTTTGTGACCTAAAATAACTCAACCTCCTCTTTTCAGTGGGGAGATCACTCTACCCACCTGTTTAGTTTAGGTCATGTCTGAGTTTCCTAAACACATTTCACATGACTGAAAACTGATTTCATATCCTACTGCACAGCTTTTAGATAAGAGGCTGTACCGCTTTGTTAGTGTTGTCATCTCCCTCAGATATGAGTCAATTTCCTCTCCTTAAGTTGAAAAAAAAAAAACATTTCAAAAGTCTGTTATCAACATATGTAAAGCAAGTCTCTGCATGCAGCTCAGACAGCACTCAGCCCAAAACAGACAGCTGCAGCACTTTTTTGTGAGTGTATATGTCTGCATGTCTGAGTCAATATTGATACAGGGATGATCTGTCTGCTCTCATCTCTCCTGGAAATAGCTGGTTAGGATTCCTAATCTATAATTTGCAAAAACATGAAAGAAAGGTGTTTAAACATTAGGCAATGTGAATCACTTAAAACCCAGCCTCAAATAAAAAAGTAATCCCTTGACACTGAGTGCACTTAAGATTATTATTTTTTTAATTACACACATGTATGAAAAGCGATTGGCTTTGCTGAGGTTCCAGTGTGTTCGAGCATGACGTTCAATCTCTTAACCACAAGCATTCATGTTCAGATGGTATCTGTCTCCAAGAGAACATGTACAATAAGTAGATATCCTTTCAGCAATCTGATCTGATCTACGCTGCTTTGGTCCCCATATTCAGTAGGTAACACAATATAGCTGAAGGAAAAGTTGAGTTATAAAATGTTGAACAGGGCCCCAAAAAGAATTGTATTTGACGGCCCATATCCAGCACCAAAATTGCATGACTTCTCATGCATTGTGCTTTGTTGGCTAGTACTGATTTCTTTAACTAGACATTCAGACCCCTTTGCTTTTTTTTTTTCAAACAGGGAAGCGTTACACCCTAAGAAATGTGGCCTCCCCTCCTTTGCGGATTACTCAGCAAAAGTGTTTGGAAACAGTTGTGATTTTGAAGAGATTACATGGGTTATGAAGCAGAACAATGGTCCAATGCAAATAAGCAAGTCAAACTCTGAATAGGCCAAAATAAAGGTTTTATGGTACTTCAGTCAAAGTCAGGACCTAAAATTGTTTGAGATGCTATGATATGTCCTTACATATACTGTTTATGCTCAAAAAAACATTTACTGTGACAAAAATGACACAACTAAGTGTGGGCAAAAGTTTTCCCATATGTAAAGAAATGTATAACTGCAGATTATCACAAACTCTAAAGGAGTATTATTGCCATAATTGGTGACATTTCTAGGATGATTATCAATTTAAAAATAAATGTATCTAATCATTTTATCTTTTTCCTACAAGTTGAATTCTATTATTTGCCATGTTTAAATGTGACATATAATGTAAAAAATCTAAAATGAAGCAAATGCTTTTCCACAGCACTGTAAGTCTAAGTGAAACGATGGAGGCGCCAAAGACAAAGTAATTGTATCAATACATTTCTTCTAATTGTCTTTTCTCTTTGTGTGAGTTTTTCAGATTAAATTATTCTTATTGCCAAATTGCCAGACAGGACCCTGTAAAAAACAAACAAAAAAAAACAAACAGTAAAATATCTTTCCTGGATGGGAAGCGAAACCTCTTCAAACTTGGAAACAAAGTTCAGTGGATTGTTTTTCACATGTTTTGGAATGCAAACTCTGTAATGTTTCCCTATTTCAATTAATCTGCATCTTGATTATTTTTGTGTTATTATTATATTATTATCTATTTTAATTCTACATGATTTTACGTTATTTTTCATTCATTGGGTGGCAGCTACTGTATGACAGGTTAAACACATGAACAGGGTAGTGAAGGGAGGAGCGACAGCCCTTATTTGTACAGTCCTTTGCGCATGCGCAGCAGTGCGCAGCAGTTGAACATTATGACGCCACCCATTCATTAAAAACAAGACAAGTCCGGACACACACCGTCCGTCCGACAGCCGGTGGACAAGCTCAGGCTGTTCTGGCCGAACCCAGTGGGTCCTGGAGAAAAACAAAACAAGACAGAGAAGAACTTAAGGAATAACCTCCGGAGGATTCATTTTTAAAGCTGTGAGCGCATTTCTGGACCAATATAGAAAGCGCTCGGACCAGTTTGTGAGCTGCCGTTCCTCGGGAGCATCGCCCTACCTGTCAGAGGAGGACGCTGGAAGAAAGAAACATCCTGTCGCTGACAATGACCTTGGAGGATGAGCTGACAACGGCCTCGGCGAAGGGAGACACGGCCGAGGTGAAGCGTCTGCTGCTGAAAGGAGCTCCTGTTAACGGCCTTAATGGGTTTGGGCGAACGGCTCTGCAGGTCAGTGGCTCCAGATGCGCTCAAGCATCCGCGGAAAAAACAACAACATCCAACAGCGACCACTGCTAAAGGTTCTGCCTGAATTATCAATGTTAAAAACTCAGGGGCCGCTTTTAAAAACAGACTGTGGAATCAGGGTCACTAAAAAAAAAAAAAAAAGAATAGTCACGGTCCTAATGACGCACTGTCTCATGAGCATGGATAATATCATACATATATATATATATATATATATATATATATATATATATATATATATATATATATATATATATATATATATATATATATGATATTATCCATGCTCATGAGACAGTGCGCCATATGCATATACACTATATTGCCAAAAGTATTTGCTCACCTGCCTTGACTCACATATGAGCTTAAGTGACATCCCGTTCCTAATCCATAGGGTTCAATATGACATCGGTCCACCCTTTGCAGCTAGAACAGCTTCAACTCTTCTGGGAAGGCTGTCCACAAGGTTTAGGAGTGTGTTTATGGCAATTTTTGACCATTCTTCCAGAAGCGCATTTGTGATGTCGCACACTGATGTTGGACGAGAAGGCCTGGCTCTCAGTCTCCGCTCTAATTCATCCCAAAGGTGTTCTATCGGGTTGAGGTCAGGACTCTGTGCAGGCCAGTCAAGTTCATCCACACCAGACTCTGTCATCCATGTCTTTATGGACCTTGCTTTGTGCACTGGTGCACAGTCATGTTGGAAGAGGAAGGGGCCAGCTCCAAACTGTTCCCACAAAGTTGGGAGCATGGAATTGTCCAAAATGTCTTGGTATGCTGAAGCATTCAGAGTTCCTTTCACTGGAACTAAGGGGCCAAGCCCAGCTCCTGAAAAACAACCCCACACCATAATCCCCCCTCCACCAAACTTTACACTTGGCACAATGCAGTCAGACAAGTACCGTTCTCCTGGCAACCGCCAAACCCAGACCCGTCCATCAGATTGCCAGATGGAGAAGCGCGATTCGTCACTCCAGAGAACGCGTCTCCACTGCTCTAGAGTCCAGTGGCGGCGTGCTTTACACCACCGCATCCGACGCTTTGCATTGCACTTGGTGATGTATGGCTTGGATGCAGCTGCTCGACCATGGAAACCCATTCCATGAAGCTCTCTGCGCACTGTTCTTGAGCTAATCTGAAGGCCACATGAAGTTTGGAGGTCTGTAGTGATTGACTCTGCAGAAAGTTGGCGACCTCTTCGCACTATGCGCGTCAGCATCCGCTGACCCCGCTCCGTCAGTTTACGTGGCCTACCACTTCGTGGCTGAGTTGCTGTCGTTCCCAAACACTTCCATTTTCTTATAATACAGCTGACAGTTGACTGTGGAATATTTAGGAGCGAGGAAATTTCACGACTGGATTTGTTGCACAGGTGGCATCCTATCACAGTTCCACGCTGGAATTCACTGAGCTCCTGAGAGCGACCCATTCTTTCACAAATGTTTGTAAAAACAGTCTGCATGCCTAGGTGCTTGAATTTATACACCTGTGGCCATGGAAGTGATTGGAACACCTGATTCCAATAATTTGGATGGGTGAGCAAATACTTTTGGCAATATAGTGTATGTGCCATATATATATATATATATATATATATATATATATATATATATATATATATATATATATATATATATATATATATATATATATATGCAATATTGACTGATTTAAACATTTATCACTTATCTCATTTAAAAGCGGTGACGGGAATTTTTTTAGGGCTTAGAAAGAAAAGTGGGATGCATTTCAAAGCCGCCCAGAAACGAAACCGCACAATAAATATAATATACACACAGTTTTGTTTTCATGATTAGTTTTCATGTTGACTGCAGGCTTAATTTCCATTATGAGACCTGATATTTAGGCTGTTATTAAAGTACACTTTTAAGCAGCTTTATCTAAAAAATACAATAATCCTGTAAAGTAAGTTTTTTTTAATATAGGCCTATATATATATATATATATATATATAAATTAATCATTAAATAGTGGTTTAATTTTTAAATTGGTAGTAATTATAAAGTTGCAAGATTTTTTATGTGTATCTATGAATTTGTTGTAAATACATTAAATAACGCAGAGCAACTGAGAGCATAAATGGATTCTTTTTTCTAACTCTACAATAGTGTTTTGTTAATTAATCTAACAGGTAAAACTTGTTAGGAATGCAGTAGCCTATTAGTGCGGCTTGTTTAACAGAAGAAAATATTTGCAGAGCTTCACTTTCAAATCAGTGACTGTAAGCAATTCGGTTTATTATTTTTATTTTTTGTGTAATAGCGTTTAAAATGAAAATAAGTTTTGTATTTTTTTTTTAATATTTTTTTTATTTTTTTGCATATGTCCAATCAATTATGCTTATTGTTTTTTTTTTGTTTTTTGTTTTTTTTTCGGGAGAGAACCCTTTTTGTCAGTAGATAAATTGATGTCCCTGTTGTGTTGTGTGAAGGTGATGATGATGGGCAGCTCGCCGGTAGCTCAGCTCCTGCTGGAACACGGAGCGGATCCAAACGTGGCGGACAGCAGCACCGGGTCCACCCCGCTGCATGACGCGGCCCGGGCGGGCTTCCTGGACACGGTGCGGCTCCTGGTGGAGGCCGGGGCCAACCTGCAGGCCCGAGACAAAGCGGACTGTCTCCCGATTGATTTGGCCAGACAGAGCGGACACAGCGATGTGGTTTCCTTCCTAGAGACTCTATAAGCAGTGTTTGCTTTGATATTTCTTTATTTAACTCTGTTGGTTCTGATTGAGGACCGAAAATACGGCCCTGAAAAGGCCTTAATTTATTTCTTTATTTAACCAGATAGGTCTTTTATTAGACACATTTAAAATTATATATTTTACAGTTATTAATTTTTATTTAAGAGGGTGCTATAAAATTTTATAAATGTCCTTTGCTCTTCTGAAAAAATTGTCCCTGGACCTTTTTTTTTTTTTGGAACTTGTAGCACTCAGAGCAAAATAAGAAGACATGACTTTTTGCACATGTAATAATTATTTTAAACTATGCACTATTATAAAATCAATAGTGAATTAACCTTTGATGATTAAAAAAGCTGTATTATAGATGTAAGGGTTTTAAACCCTTGAAAAGTAAAGATAAACATGCTTGAAATTGCGTGGAAATTGGATCCTTCTTTTACAGGCTAGTAAAAGATACAATGGGAAGTCTAGCTCTGTAAGGACAATTTAAATGGATTTAGTTTGATGCACTTTCTCAAGTCTGGGCTAAATGATTAAATGCAAGAATGGGGTAAAGCTTGTAATTGCTTCTTTTATTTGACTAAAAACAGCCACCTTAATTCAAAACCTGGAATACATTTTTTTCTTTTTCCTTTTTTTGCATAAGGTTAAATCAGTATCGGCAGGTTTGACTAAGAAATCATGAAGTTTGTACTGGCCTTGAATAGCCTGATAAATGCAGATATACCCTGGGCAGCTCCTCCTTTTGCCGACCTTATCCTATTGAAATGCAATCAGCCGTTAGATTTAGTAGAATTTTGTCCAGTTCCCATGCACAAAATTAATAGCAACCTTGTTCAGGGCATAAATTACATAAGCTAAATACCATAATCTGGAGTTTGGGCATGAATTCCATTTCTAAAGCCTCTTTAAAGCCCAAATCAAAAATCCCCAATGCACGTGGCAAATACCAATACTCCACTGGAATGGCCTTTATATCATCTGCATTTAAAAACATTAGCTTAATCCATTACCTCCAAAAAATTATTGGATTAGTTTACATGTCAAGCTTTGTGGCAATAACCTGACAAACTGTGTATCCGTTAATAAATTATTCATTGGAAAAAAAAACCTGATTTTCAGCATTCAGTTCATCTCAGCTTATTCATATAGTGCCAGTCTTTAACTCATTATAAGTAGTGACTGGAACATTTCAAAGCTGCTTTTTCTGTAATCCAATCCTTCAGATTTTCTGCTGAGATTTTGCATTTAAACTAAAAAGAACAACAACAAAAAAGCAACAAAGAACATTTGTTTTCTTTTTTCATTTAACTTGAGAAATTACCTCAAAGTTTTGCTTTATAGTTTTATTCAGATATTGTTTTTCATACAGATGCGTTTACAGTTCCGCCATAAAAAAAAAAAAAAAAAAAGAGGAAATGCAAGTGAGCTGGATATTGTGCAACACACAGAGCAATGAAAAGTAAAGGCAAACAAAATAACAAGATAGAACACAAAACATGATTTAAGTGAATTGAAACGCTGGACTTACGGATAAACCTACAGTTTTCTTATGTTATAAATTTGCATGAAATATATGTTCTGCAAAAACTACATGTAGCACTTAAACTGCAAGTTCTATTGTCAATTAATTGTAAGATAGCAGAAAGAAAAAGATTATACTAAAAAGCAATTTCCTAAAAAAGCAAAAAAATATTTTTATGATCTGGAGATTTAAAAATCTAAATTTAACTGCTGTATTGAAATCAAGACTGATATAATACATGTATGTGCTAAACGTGCAAGTTCATCTTTCCATCTGGTTAAATTGCGACTAAGATGGACAGTTTAAAGGTAGAACATATAGAAAGTGTAAAGGTTTATAAAATACAAAATATATCACTCTGCAACATATCAAGTATAATTTCAAGACTTTTAAAAAGCATGGATCAAAGGGTGAAAAGGATTGACCTGTGAATCAGCATGAAGCTTCGAGGTGCATTTCAAAAAAGGAAAGTCCCTAAGCTCCAGCTAGACACAAACAACCGGTGCATTATTCCTGTGAGGCACTTCTCAATGATTCACCAATTATGAATCCTTAAGCAGAGTTGGGCGCCGTTTCGTCAGTGGCTGGATACGTGCACGTGTTTGTGTGGGATTATTCCTCCTCCTCCTCTGGTCCAAGTTTTGATTGCCAACTCAGTGCTTTGGTAACATTACTGAACACAGAGCCATCGTCTGCAACGAGAAAAAGGAAACCATTTATCCTTTCATTTTTATAGACTTTATTTCAGATGCAGTGATGAGGAAGTTGTTGAGAGTTTTTTAGGAGACTGTTTTCCATAGTGAGAATAGGAGAAATGCGATGAATGATGAACATTCAATTAGGGCTGCTACTAACGATTATTTTACAAATCCATTAATCTGTTGATTATTTTTTAAATTAATTGATTAATAATCGGATAGCCAAAGGCTTTTAAAAGAGGATGTTTTATTAAACTAAACCAGGTGAAACAAAAACTTTTCCACTTTAGGAGTTCTGGATAGAGCATAGTGTCAGAAGAAAAAGATTATCTTAAATGCAAAATATTTATATTTATATATATATATATATATATATATATATATATATATATATATATATACACATACATACACACACTTTTTTTTTACTATTTCCATATAATTACTGCTCCCAGCAGGTCGCTCTGTCAGCAAAATCTTAGTTTACAGTCTATATTCCAGTTCATGTTAATCGATTACTAAATTAGTTGACGATTATTTCAATAATCGAATAATCATGATTAATCCAATTAATTGTTTCAACCCTACATTCAATTATGTTAAAAATAAGATTCTTCCAAAATAACTAATAGGGTCAAAAGCTATATTTGACATATTTTATCATTTTAAAATTATAGGTGTAGTAGAGTAATTGAAACATACACAGCAGTCTTTGTGTGAAGGACACGTTAACTAAAAGTGCTTGTTTAAAATGGAGGTCAATCAGCGAGGGTAATTATTCAAAGAATCATTGGCATTTTAAGAGGTATTTTACCCTAGATTGAGATTAAAACCTCTTGTCACAAGGTTGTTTTATGAGGTAAATACAGGAAATGTGGGATTTTGTTTTTGGTCCAATGAAGCAGTTCTCAGAATCACAGTTACAAATCCAAGCCCAAAATTAGCCAATCCCTTGCTTTTTTTTTTTTTTTCCCCCTCTATATATTCTTTATAGACGTGTCATAGATATCAGTGTATCCTGACAGAAAAAAAAAAAACGAATAAAAAAAAAAAATCAGAAATCTCAACAAACCAGTGTAAATGTCAACTCTTTACATATCCATATTTCTGACTATTTATTTCAGGTGATTATCTCCGAGGGTTTTAGGTTGGGAAAGCCTCCTTACCATCACCTTGATCTTTAGCTCCCACAGATTCTCAGTTTTAAACTGGAAATCTGGCTGGGTAACTAAACGTTTTAATACCACATACAGCTAGAAGACAAAATGTTTGTGAAATTCTTATTCCTTTATTATAAATGGCAGATATTTACAAGGTTTAACATGTAAATATGCCAGATTTAGCCAGAGACATAAACGCAAAATGAATACTGTACAAGATATGTTAAAATTAAATGAAACAGTAAAGTAAATTAGGATCACTTATTTACAACTACATAATTAGTAAATCACAAAAGATAGCCAAAATCTAACAAATAGATGGATAATTTTAGGCTCAACCAGAAATGTAAATCAGTTCAGATTCTAAATAAAAATATACCTACAGTATTTATTCCATTTATGCAGTTTCCATAAAGCTGAAACATGTTGAATTTTTCTTTTTTTTCAGCACGTTTTGAATTAAGCATAGTCTTCTCCCATTACACTTTAATGTATGGGAATAAAGTTATTCTAGGGATATAGAAAATAATTATCGTCTTTAGACATTTTAATTATTATTCTATCTCTTTTTAAATGACTGATAAGAGAAATTTACTTCAACTGTTACCAGAGTTAAACTACAGGAAAAAACTTTGACTTTTTGTTGAACTCTACATATTTACTTCCACATAATGTAAATTATCTCATTGTTATGTGCCCCAGGCACATTATGATTTTTGTCCATTTCTTTTCTTCGTTTGCTTATAAACTTTAGTTGAAGGATCTTTTTGTTAATATATTTTAGGATTCTTTTAGTAAATTAATTATGTTAATTTGTGGTGCTGTCGTCCGCCTATAAATAGGCTGGCCTTCAGCATGTTGGTGTGTTCCTTGCGTGTTCCTTTCGCGTTCCTTTCCAACCTCGTTTGGACGCCACTTCCCACCTGCTTCATTTGCTCCATCGTGCGCGGTGCGCACTTGTCTTGTCGCTGCGGCCTGCAGCGGACGTTCCAGCCTGCCATGTGGTATTTTTGTTAACTTTTTCTTACTTTTTTCTTGAGGTTTTTGGCCTGGCGGGACCGGTAGTCCTGTTTTCGATTTTTCTTTCGCTTAGGTTATTTTTTGCCTTTAGTCCGGTACCAGTAGGGGCTTCGACGGCCCTGTATAGGGTTGGCCCCCTGCTGTACCGTTTTATTCTGTTTGATCGGCCTGCCAGGTCCAACTTTCTGTTGTTACTTTGGGTTTCTTTTTTTATTTTTTTGGGGCACGGGATTTGAGGGCCGTTAATTATTTTTCTCTCCGCAGAACATTTGAAGAAGCCGAACCAAGAACAACTAAAGCGGAGAGAATTTATTAATAAAATATCTTTTTTTGAACCCTCATTTTCGTCTCGTGTCCTCAAATATGTTGTGTCCTTGGTGAGCGTAACACGCATACAGAGTCTAACTTTATGCTGGTAAAGCAAAGGAATGTTTTAGGGTAGTTTCTTTTGGGTTCTGCGTTGAGGTTTTTGACGGTTGTGTTTTACTGAGGAACTTCAAAGTTGGTGACAAATAACGGGAAAAAAAAAAAAAAAACAGAAACAGGAGCTTATTTACAGGATGAAGCCCTAAAAAGGATGAGTGAATTGTTCCAAAAGACCTTCCTGAAGTGAAATAGAGCGTCTCTGCTTACTTTTAAGTTCTTCATGGTCTGAGTCCAGTCCATCTGACTGATCTGTGGTATGGCAGTAAGCAGGATGCTGCTGGCTTTGTTTGCGTTTTCTTTCATCGTCTTCAGGACATTGTCGACACAAACCTAAAACACAGCAGAAAATAGCAGCAGCAGCATTATACCATAGATGATCCATCCTTCATTAATGTCTCAAACTGTTTGCATCCCATTCAAAATGACCATGTTCCTTTTTTATTTGACTTTCTGTTAGCGGGTTACATGTATGGGTATCCCAGCCATGACC